CTGAACCAAATTTCTGGATATTAACACCCTCAAACTTTGATGGGATGATTGTTCAAAATATCAGCCGAGATGCACATTTTGAAGCTTGAACTCATCTCTTGATATTTCTAACCCCAATATAGGAAGTTGTGAGAATATGCTCCCCTGTGAGATTTTCAGAAGACTTCCCAGACCCATTTTGCGGAGCCTAGATGTCAGGATGAGTTTTGACTACACTGCTAAATTTTGGGGATTTTCAGAATGGGGTGCTTAAAGTTAGACTTCTTAACACATATACTGTTGCCTGATTTTCAAATGTGCTAAGCTCACAACAGTTGCCTTCAAATCTTGGCTGTGATGTTTGTCAAAATGGAGCAGAACTGCTCATCTTTTTGAAGTTTGGCTATCATTATAGTTACTCAATTATTTATAAAAGCATCTGAAAGCTTTAAATGTTTGAAGCATAAAATATAAAAGAACTAAAAAAAAAAAGAAAATAGTCAATTTTTAGATGTGAATAATTTTACTTAACAATGTATTTTTTGGATTTTTGTAAGAAATCTAAATAACAGGTAGAAATATAGCTGAGATGCTATGGAAGGGAGAGTGTAGCTAAGCTACTTGGCAGTAGCTGCACTGGCATATGCAATTATGATAGATAAAACAATCAGAATTACTCAAAGTGCTTTGCAGACACTGAATGTGTCTGGTCATTTGGGAGTTTGAATAATCAGAAGTCAAAATACAATGAGTCCATTGACCAGAGAGATACAGTACTGTATATAATGCTATGGCAGGGGAGTAGAAAGATATAACTATCAACAGGCAGATCAATTTGTTTGAAAGCTTTATTCATTTGATAGATATTTCCTGCATGTTATATGGAATAACACAACGGATGAAAGCTTTCAAATTAATAAAAAGTTTTTCAGTGAACCCATTGCTGGTAGGGAGGTAGATAATAAGGGTTCAGATAATCAAGATTCTACTGCATGGCTTATTAAATTAACATGATTTTTTTTCTGTTCCAAAAAAACCAAAACACCCAAGAACCCTGTCTGTAACTAGTAATTATTGACTGTACTGTGCATATCATTTGCTTTTACAATGACTGTTTCTTGTTGTTCTTTTTTTTAACAGTAATTCTCCATTTTAGGCCTTCACTTATAGAACATAAACTTTCAGTTACTAGACAAATGGCCTGAAATGTCCACTGTATCTTTCCTCATTTCCATCCCAGCTCTGCCAAAATCAATATACCATTAACTATTTATGTTTATGTTACACTGTCTGTGCCCACCTTCTTATGCTGGAAGCTGCTCTCTTGGGTGACTGGGGGATTCAGGGATTCTGGCCTCCTGCTTGTTCCATCTAAACGTTGTTAAATTTTAAAATATCCAATATGTAGTCGTGACCATGGTTTAAAATGCATACCCATCTCCCTACTCCCAACACACACACACATTTCTGCTTCTTGGAGGTTCTGAACTTCTGGTTAGCATACAAACTTAATCTGCATTCAGTACAGCACAGGAAAACTACCAGACCCAAGTACAGACCAGCTTTTTGTCTGCAATTATATTTGGTTTTGTTTTGCTTTCCTTGGGTGAAAATGAATGTGGAGAAGAGAACTTACTGCTAAATGGTGAAGCTAAAGGATAGTGAATGCCTCTGGACAAACATAAGCTCATTTTTTCCAAGTACTTTTGGATAATACTCAAGAGAAATTCTATTTTAAAAAAGAAAGATGTTATTTTACAAGGACTGATTTAGACCAAATGTCATCGTTTGTCAGTGTTAAAATTTCATGAGGACTAGTTAATGGCAAGTATGGTAGAAGGATGCTGCTTAAGATTTTTTTAAATTTGTTCCAGATAAATATCACAACCAACTTGTTTTCTTATGTACATAACTGAAAACAACATTGTTTTAAATGAAATTTCATGAAGGGAAGTTTCACTATTTAATGTAAATATAAACATATTTATCTTGTTTTCATCACTTTTTTTTACCACATTTGCTAATTATTAAATGATTTGGACCAATTTCTGTCTTCATATGTGTCCCTGCAACTCAGTCTGACATAAAAATTATGGTAACACTTTGAGGGAATGATCCTAACTCAGTTCAATTGGGATAACTTCATTGACTTCAATACAGCTACACCGATTGACACCAGCTGAGGATCTAGCCCTCAATGTCTGCTACATAGCAGATATTCCTGCATGTCTGAAGACAGAATTTGATCTTTCCCTTTTAAACAAGGGCCTGCTCTTTTCCCTATGTGTTCATACAATGAAATCATGTTCATAATGTTGAATTTGCAACATCTCATTCATTTCCATGACAATTGCCTATGACATTTTTTATGACCATGGAAAACTCCAGAAAGGTGCATTCTTCACTTATTGGAGGGAATTTACCCACAACTCCCATTATCTAATATGCTTGACTAAAGGCCTGAACACTGAGTTGATAACCCAACATCTTTTTAGTTAAAATATAAGAACATAAGAGCTGCTATATGGGTCAGACAATGGTCCATCTTGCCCAGTATCCTGTCTTCAACAGTGGTCTATACCAGAGCTTCAAGGTGAGTGTAAAGAACAGGCCAATCATGGAGTGATCCACCCCTGTCTTCCACTCCTGGCTTCTGATAGTCAGAGGTTTAGGGTTGCCCAGAGCATGGGGTTGCATCTCTGACCATCTTAACTAAGAGCCATGAACTTATTCAATTCTTTTTGTGAACCAAGTTTGCTTTTGATCATGACAACATCCCATGGCAGAGTTCCACAGTGCGTTGTGTGAAAAAGTACTTCTTTTAGTTTGTATTAAACCTGTTGCCTATTAATTTCATTGGGTGACCCCTGGTTTTTGTATTGTGTGAAAGGGTAAATAACACTTCTGTATTCATTTTTTCCACACCATTCATGATTTTATAGACCTCTATCATATTCCTCTTTAGTCATCTCTTTTCTAATCTGAACAGCCCTAATCTTCTTAGTCTCTTCTCGTATGGAACCTTTGATCATCTTTGTTGCCCTTCTCTGAACCTTTTCCAGTTCCTCTCACTTCTTTTTGAGATGGAATAACCAGAACTGGACACACTATTCAAGGTGTGGACACACCATGGATTTATATAGCGGCATTATATTTTCTGTCTTATTTTCTATCCCTTTCCTAATCATTCCTAACATACTGTCAAAGCTTTTTGACTGCTGCACTGCATTGAATGGAAATTTTAAGAGACAGTGACTCCAAGATATCTTTATTGGGTGGTAATAGCCAATTAAAATCCATCATTGTATAGGTATAGTTGGGATTATTTTTTTCAGTGTGAGTTACTTTGCACTTATCAACTTTGAATTGCATCTGCTATTTTGTTGCCCAGTCACCCCGTTTTGTGAGAGCCTTCTGTAACTCTTCACAGTCTGCTTTGGACTTCGCTATCTTGAACAATTTTTGTATTGTCTGCAAACTTTGCCACCTCATTATTCACCCTCTTTTCTAGATCATGAATGAATATGATGAATAGCGCAGGTCCCAGTATAGATCCTTGGGGGACTCTCACTGTTTGCCACTCCCCATTATGAAAACTGACCATTTGTTCCTACCCTTTATTTCCTGTCTTTCAACCAAGTACTGATCCAGGAGAGGACCTTCCCTCTTATCCCCTGGCTACTTAGTTTCCTTAAGAGCGTTTGGTGAAGGACTTTTCCAAAGGCTTTCTGAAAATCCAAGTATGCTATATCGACTGGTCACCTAGTAGTAGGATTTTATGTTTGTATTAATATAACTTAGAATGAAGGATAAAGAATAATAATGTAGCATGTATTAAATGTATTGGTGTATGATTTGATCATATCCTGCCAGCCACCCTTTTTGAATAACAGAAAGGAATGGCCTAATGGGCCATTGGTAGAGATACATCAGCCAGAATCTGTGTCTGGACTGATTTTAAGGCAGTGACAGACCTTTGAGGGTCACCAATTTGTTGTGGGTTTAGCATTTTAAAATAAGTAAAAGAATGCAATGATTGTCTTTCTTTTGCATTGCAATTTGATGTTCCTGTTCAAAATGTTCTGTGTAAATTAATTCTGTTTTGTGTGTGAATGAGGAATGTATGTGTTAAGAGATAAGTGTGAAGGCCATCGCTGAACCAGATGTACGAGGGAGGAACCAGAGACAGACGCAAGGGTGCCAGGAGGCTGCAACATGCTCCTATTGAAATGTCAGAGGAGGGAAGATTGACGACTCTAAAGACAGGCACCTATCAATGGGGACGAGATAGCTGTGATAAAGAATGAGAAGGACAATTTAAGAAAACAAGCACTCGTCAAACAACAATTGATTACAGCATGACAGAGCAAAACTCATTGGTCCCAATGAAGGAAAATCACTATATAAACAGGGTGCCTTGCCATGAAACTTTGGGTTCGTCCTGCCAAGACTTCCCCGGAGCATTGTGTCATGATCGATGGAACCTGGCTCCTCCCTACCGGTGATCAACCTAGCTGGCCACTAGGTTGATCCGGACTGGTAACTATAACATCGACTGGCAGGACAGTGTGCATGGTGTGTGTATGTGTAACTGAAAAGCATATGCTAACTGCTGTATTCTTAATAAATGCATTGTGTTGCCTTCTCCCCTATAAAAGATCTTGTGTGTTTTGTATAAGCATAACACCCCTCTCCACATGCTTGTTGACTTCCTCAAATAATTCTAATAGACTGGGGAGGAATGACTTCCCTTTACAAAAGTCATGTTGACTCTTCAGAAACAAATCATGTTTGTTGATGTGTCTGATAATTCTATTCTTTACAGTAGTTTCTACCAATTTGCCTGGTTCTGAAGTTAGGTTCACCAGCCTGTAACTACCTGGATCCCCTCTGGAGCCCTTTCAAAAAATTGGTGTTACATTAGATACTTTTCAGTCATCTGGTACAGAGGCTGATTTCAGTGATGGGTTATTGACTACAGTTCATAATTCTGCAATTTCATACTTGAGTTCTTTCAGAACTCTTGGGTGAAGACCATCTGGTCGCAGTGACTTATTACAGTTTAGTGTATCAATTTGTTCTAAAACCTCTTCTACTGACACATCAATTTGAGACAGTACTTCAGATTTGTCGCCCAAAAAGAATAGCTCTAATGTGGCCATCTCCATCACATCCTCTGCAATGAAGACTGATGCAGAGAATTCATTTAGTGTCTCTGCAATGGCCCTGTCTTCCTTGAGTGCTGCTTTAATGCCTTTGTCATTTAGTGGCCCCACTGCGTCTTTGACGGGCTTCCTACTTCTGGTGTACTTAAAAATGTTTTTATTATTAGTTTTTGCATCATTAACAAGTTGCTTCTCAAATTCTTTGCTGTCTTCCCTTATTATACTTGCGAGAGTTTGTGTACCTTCTTGTATTCTTGCTTGGATTTGACTTTCACATTTAAAGGATGCCTTTTTGCCTCTAATGGCCTCCATTACTTTGCTGATTAGCCATGGTGGCGTTCCTTTGGTTAGAATCATAGACTTTAAGGTCAGAAGGGACCATTATGATCATCTATTCTGACCTCCTGCACGATGCAGGCTACAGAATCTCACCCACCCACTCCTGTATCAAACCTGTGTCTGAGCCATTGAAGTCCTCAAATCATGGTTTAAAGACTTCAAGGTGCAGAGAATCTTCCAGCAAATGACCTGTGCCCCACGCTGCAGAGGAAGGCAACCCCCCCGCCAGGGCCTCTGCCAATCTGCCCTGGAGGAAAATTCCTTCCTGACCCCAAATATGGCGATCAGCTAAACCCTGAGCATGTGGGCAAGACTCACCAGCCAGACACCCAGGAAAGAATTCTCTGTAGTAACTCAGATCCCACCCCACCTAACATCCCATCACAAGCCATTGGGCATATTTACCACTAATAGTCAAAGACCAATCTCATTATACCATCCCCTCCATAAGTTTATCAAGCTTAGTCTTGAAGCCAGATATGTTTTTTGCCCCCACTACTCCCCTTGGAAGGCTGTTCCAGAGCTTCACTCCTCTGATGGTTAGAAACCTTTGTCTAATTTCAAGTCTAAACTTCCTGATGGCCAGTTTATATCCATTTGTTCTTGTGTCCACATTGCTACTGAGCTTAAATAATTCCTCTCCCTCCCTGGTATTTATTCCTCTGATATATTTGTAGAGAGCAATCATATCTCCCCTCAGCCTTCTTTTGGTTAGGCTAAACAAGCCAAGCTCTTTGAGTCTCCTTTCATAAGACAGGTTTTCCATTCCTCGGATCATCCTAGTAGACCGTCTCTGTACCTGTTCCAGTTTGAATTCGTCCTTCAACATGGGAGACCAGAACTGCACACAGTATTCCAGATGAGGTCTCACCAGTGCCTTGTATAACGGTACTAACACCTCCTTATCTCTACTGGAAATACCTCACCTGATGCATCCCAAGACCGCATTAGCTTTTTTCACGGCCATATCACATTGGCGGCTCATAGTCATCCTGTGATCAACCAATACTCCGAGGTCCTTCTCCTCCTCTGTTACTTCCAACTGATGCGTCCCCAATTTATAACAATAATTCTTGTTATTAATCCCTAAATGCATGACCTTGCACTTTTCACTATTAAATTTCATCCTATTAGTATTACTCTAATTTACGAGGTCATCCAGATCTTCCTGTATGATATCCCAGTCCTTCTCTGTATTGGCAATACCTCCCAGCTTTGTGTCAGCTTTATTAGCACATTCCCACTTTTTGTGCCAAGGTCAGTAATAAAAAGATTAAATAAGATTGGTCCCAAAACCGATCCCTGAGGATCTCCACTAGTAACCTCCCTCCAGCCTGACAGTTCACCTTTCAGTACGACTCGTTGTAGTCTCCCCCTTTAACCAATTCCTTATCCACCTTTCAATTTTCATATTGATCCCCATCTTTTCCAATTTAGTTAATAATTCCCCATGTGGAACCGTATTAAATGCCTTACTAAAATCGAGGTAAATTAGATCCACTGTGTTTCCTTTGTCTAAAAAATCTGTTACCTTCTCAAAGAAAGAACAGGAGTACTTGTGGCACCTTAGAGACTAACAAATTTATTAGAGCATAAGCTTTCTGAAACTTCTCAAAGAAGAAGATCAGGTTGGTTTGGCATGATCTACCTTTTATAAAACTATATTGTAATTTGTCCCAATTACTGTTGACCTCAATGTCCTTAACTACTTTCTCCTTAAATTTTTTCCCCAAGACCTTGCATACTACAGATGTCAAACTAACAGGCCCGTAGTTGCCCGGATCACTTTTTTTACCTTTCTTAAAGATAGGAACTATGTTAGCAATTCTCCAGTAATGTGGTACAACCCCTGAGTTTACAGATTCATTAAAAATTCTTGCTAATGGGCTTGCAATTTAATATTCTTGGATGAAGATTATCTGGGCCCCCTGATTTAGTCCCATTAAGCTGTTCGAGTTTGGCTTCTGCCTTGGAATTGGTAATATCTACCTCCATATCCTCATTCCCATTTGTCATCCTACCATTATTCCTAAGCTCCTCATTAGCCTCATTAAAGACTGAGGCAAAGTATTTGTTTAGATATTGGGCCATGCCTAGATTATCCTTAACCTCCACTCCATCCTCAGTGTTTAGCGGTCCCACTTCTTCTTTCGTTGTTTTCTTCTTATTTATATGGCTATAGAACCTTTTACTATTTAATTCCCTTTGCAAGGTCCAACTCTACATGGCTTTTGGCCTTTCTCACTTTATCCCCTCATGTTCTGACCTCAATAAGGTAGCTTTCCTTGCTGATCCCTCATATCTTCCACTCCTTGTAGGTTTTCTGCTTTTTCTTAATCACCTCTCTGAGATGCTTGCTCATCCAGCTTGGTCTACAACTCCTGCCTATGAATTTTTCCCCCCTTTCTTGGTATGCAGGCTTCTGATAGTTTCTGCAACTTTGACTTGAAGTAATTCCAGGCCTCCTCCGCCTTTAGATCCACAAGTTCTTCAGTCCAATCCACTTCCCTAACTAATTTCCTTAATTTTTCTAAAGTTAGCCCTTTTGAAATCAAACACCCTAGTCACAGATCTATTTTTGTTTATCCTTCCATTTAGTTTAAACTGAATTAGCTCATGATCGCTCGAACCAAGGTTATCCCCTACAACCATTTCTTCTATGAGGTCCTCACTACTCACCAAAACCAAATCTAAAATGGCATCCCCTCTTGTTGGTTCAGCAACTACTTGGTGAAGGAATCCATCAGCTATCGCATCTAGGAAATTCTGAGCCCTATTATTGTTACTAGCACTTGTCCTCCAATCTATATCTAGAAAGTTAAAGTCTCCCATGATCACACAATTCCTATTTAGTATTTGTTTAGGTATCTAAATATGCCTGTAATAGGCACCCTTATTTGAAATTTTGCACACTGTATAATATAGTTTTATCTAACAGTAAATTATGTACTTAATGACATATAAAATGACAATGCCAACACATTATGTTGACCTTATGTACAGTTTTGCAATTTTACAACATTAGCTATTATGTATATTTACAGCTATTAAACAGTTTCAGTATATTAACATATACTATATATTAGCATCTGTAAGAAGTACTTAGATTATTCCATGTACTGAAATAAGATCATGAGCTATAGTGCCAAAAAGGATATTTTCATTTCTAGATTTATATTAGTTAATATCCTACTATTGGAAGTGAACCTGTGTTTAGGCATACTGTGAGAAAGTTTCCACATTGAACAGAACTTTACCCCATCTTTGTTTGGAGAACAGACATGAAATGTGCGCAATATCTCTTCATATAAGGCCCATGAGTGGAGCAGATAACTTGCTTTCTGTTATTCTGAACTGTAGTATATATTACATGATCTGATGCTTATTAGATTTTTGTGCACATTTATGTTGCTGCATGAATATAAATAATAAATAATAAAACTATTCATAAAAGTAACATTCCCTTATGTGCAACCTCCTGAAATGATTTCATCATTAAGAAGAGCTCATAGGTTGGCTCTGTGACATCCTCCTTGAAATTACAATGGTATGTACTATTGGTGGAAATTCTGGAAAATATCACTATATATTCATAGCTAGACAGGTAGTTTATATCAAACTACTCACTGTTACCAACAGCTGTATGGGCCCCTGTGCATACAGTTTAACATACATTTTTTATGTTAATTTCAAGTGCATGCTCTAAACTTGCAACATGTACTTAAAACTCCTTCATGCTTGTGTGCAGACTAAAAATTACTTTTCATGGACAGCATGACATATTCTATATGTCCATCCAGAAATACTTGTGGTAAAATTATAATTAAATTAAATGTACTTTTAATCATTTATGCTCTTTATTTTTTGTATCTCACTCATACTGGACAATGGGAACAGATCAGTTTCACATTAGTTTTGATCAGTTTCTAAGCAATTTTATTATTTTATGTTTTCATTAGCACTGGGCAAACCATTATGGCTAGTGCTCTGCCCCTGAATTTTGCTTTGAGTTTTTGGGTTCAAACAAGCTAAAAACCTCAAAACAAAACTCAGTGAAAATGACCAGTCTTCAACTGATTTTTGGTCCAAACTCATAAATTGTCCCAGGTTTGCTTGAAACTAGGTCCATGTTCACCCAAATATATTTGAGAATCACAGTGGAAATTTCAGTGTACCTGGTGTGTGATTTGAATATGTAATGAAACCTGTAACCAGACAGGTGTCATGTGGTTTGAGGGTACATTGTGCACTTTTTGCACAGCTTTAATTTTCATGACTCCTCCTTTCTCAGCATTTAATAACTTGTGTTAGATTCTCAACTCCAGTGAGCTTTGCTCAATACTGAGAGGGCTATCAGGAAGCTGGTTTTGGCTCCCTGATTCTGAATTTGGGGCCAATTCCTGCACTTCTCATGCCCACTGAAGTCAGTAGCTGAAGTGAATGGTGACTTGGGTTCTATTTCAGATTCTGTCACCAACCTGCTATGTGAACTTGGGCAAGTTAATTCACTTCTGTTTGCCCTCTCCACTTTGTCTGTCCCATCTATTTATTTGTAACTTCTTTCAAGTCAGGACAATCTGTTACTATTTGTTTGTACATCATCTAGTTCAGTGAAGCCCTGATTTCAGTTGGGGACTCTAGGCACTGCTGTAATACAAATAATTGACCACACTTGCTTAAGTCTTTTCCAGAGCAGGGTCTAATATTAGGCCTTAATATCTAGTCTTGTGTGTGTGGATCGGGTTTTTGCAATGTAACTTTTACTTTGGAACTTTTTAAAGTGTAGCATTTTAAAAGTTTGGGCCTGAGAGCTTTGCTTAATGAAGAAGGACAGGATTAAGCCTGCTGTCTGTGGTGCTGTTTATTCATGTCTAGGGAAGTGTGTTATGTGTTAGGAATAAGCAATTCATTTCTGATAAAATAAGAACTGACATAAACATTGGCTCAAAACCCTAAGTGAACCCATATCCAATCCTTTCTTATTAGTTTTCACTTTTGCACTCCACTTCCTGATTCTG